AAATATGACGAACATTTATTTATTGAAATTGATTCAATATATGCATTTCACTATTTTTCTTAAGTTGGCGTATCCTGAAAAGTGTCCAACGCTCATAGACAACAGAATTTGATTCAATGTGTGTAGTTCACTTTTAAATGGCTACATATACCAAATAATAAATATATTTTCATTCTTTAAATATGAAAATCTTCATTACCTTTTCAGTTTTATGAAATTGATAACCTACTCCCACTCCCCACCCCCCACAAAAAAATGCTTCTTTTTTAATTTGATACAATTGTTCACCAGAACAGATCACCCTGAAGGCTTTACTCATAAAACATCACAAATAGTGTGCAAAAAGGTAGAATATCATTGTCTCTGAGCTAAAACTGATTATTGAATAGTTTGACTTGCTAGCCATACGATTCCTGAACTGACAAAGAGTTATACATCCTTTCTTCCTTAATCTTAATGTCAATAACAAAAACATTTGAATTTTTGAGGTTCATTTCATTATTAAAGTTAGGGAGTTTTATTTTCAAAGTAGATTTACAATTGATTATTATGGAAGTTTCAAGCTAAACCTTTAAAGTCAGTTCAGGATATTTCAAATTCATTAGTTTGACTGTAGGTGTGGAAAGAAGAGTTGCAGTGAGATGATAAAGGTGATCTCGTATATTCATGGATATGTACACGGATAGCTGCAAAAATACTCAAATTGTCAAAAAACAAACACCGTTTAACCGTATATATTTTTTTTTGTTAAAAATTAAGGCTCACCCCTGAATGGAACATTAAGTTATTGCATTTCATTAATACCATATTTGTATAATTCACACGACCTCTGTCGATCGAAATATTAAAGATTCAAATCGGAAAGCGAAACACTGACATTTACGTCACGTATTTAATTACTTGCTGAACTTGGTGCATCTCTCAATTGAGCTATAAAAAATTGAGAAAAGCATTTGGTATTTAATATCCTTGAGTAGAAAATTAACAGAACATTATTTTCTGAGGTTAGTTAGTTGTCCACCGCCAGAAATCGTACCTCAGATTTTAGCGTTGTAAGCCCGTAAACTTACCTGTCCTACCGGGGGACTCATATTCTATGGAACGGGAATGAGTAAATATGAATTGCAAACATTATGATACTTTTTTTTTTTTCGGTAGGAAAAGTATACAGAATCTCTATGGTTAGTGTGATCAGTTTAATCCATTCCTACATAACATTCATCAATAACACAGCCTAAAATTCCATCAACAATTTCTTTTTAGATATTTTTTTTTCGTTTTTTAGGATATAATAATATTATGATCTTGAATTTTTAACTGCGTTTTTGAAAGATTTTGGGACACAAAAAAGACGAACCAGCTTTCATGACACTGTAGGCTTCACCGGACAAACGAACATTTTACCCACAGTTCTTTGATAGTTTTAAGATAGCGTGGGTAGAAAACGATAATCATGTGACTGCTTTTGTGATCCCACATACTCTTCAAGTATCATGATTTGATTACTTTTATGTATATATATATATATCATAAAATATCCACAATATGTTCTTTCAAGAATTTTTCTTTAAACACAAAATATGATAAATATCTAATTTTCAATTAAATTAAAAAAACAACAACATGAGATAATTTAGATAACAGAAATGATGCAATAAAGTCGCAAAGTTTCATTTAAACCCAATTTTTCAGTGGTCGAGTGACAACAGCCACTGTCCTGGATTACGAAGAAAGACAGACATACGATCTTCTCATTCAGGTGTCTGATGGACAAAATGTAAGTAAAGAGAGGCTGCACGTGTAAGTATTAGTTTTCTGATGGACAGAATGTAAGTAAAGAGAGGCTGCACGTGTAAGTATTAGTTTACTGATGGACAGAATTTAAGTAAAGAGAGGCTGCACGTGTAAGTATTAGTTTTCTGACGACAAAATGTAAGTAAAGAGAGGCTGCACGTGTAAGCACTAGTTTTCTGATGGACAAAATGTAAGTATAGAGAGGCTGAACGTGTAAGCATTAGTTTTCTGACGACAAAATGTAAGTAAAGAGAGGCTGCACGCGTAAGCATTAGTTTTCTGATGGACAAAATGTAAGTAAAGAGAGGCTGCACGTGTAAGTATTAGTTTTCATCGAGAGTTCAACACACGTTTAAAGTCTGTCGATTGGTGACCACATACAGAAAATACCACTATTGTTTATATCTAGCGCACAGAATAATAATTTATTATTAAGCACAAAGCTAAATAATGGGCTACTTGTGCTCTGCCCACCGCGATCAATGAAACACAGTTTTTAGAGTTAAAAGTTCCCAGACTTACCACTGAGATTGCTGTAGTAAAGTAACAGTCATGAGTTTTGGAAAAAGGGTCTAGGGCCTGAATCGTGGAAAATTTCTTAATGTATCTCAAACTTTAGATTTTGAGTCTAGTTATTGTATAATATAAAAGTAAGTTTGATATATGTCTCTTAAACACTTTATTTTCCGAAACTTTCATTCTTATGTTTTTTAAATTATGTTGAAGGTTTAGAGTATAGGCCTAATCACAGGCTACTGTGAAATATAGCTCTTGTGACGAAGCAAAATGATGCGTCACACTTCAAAATAATACGCAGTTTCTCAATAATTTGATCTTGTATGCGTTTCTGTCCCTTATATTGTATCATGGAGTGCTTTATAAACTGTCCCGAACCATGTTTTACAACCGTTCCCTGGCCTTAAGCCATACAAGTTTTAAGATGCCATTAACCAAGACTTAATCCTAAAAAATGTGTTGTTAATTGAATACATGTGTTGAAACATGCTCTGTTTTTATATATGTTTTATTTCTTGAACATGGTTTTGCTTTCTGAATAATAATTGCTTCTACGATTTAAGGATGGCTTTGTTTTAAGTTTTCAGCTTAAGTTGTGTTTTGATAAATGATCACGTTTTGTAGATCATTCGTAATTAACTGATCAAATTTTATAAGTCATGATTTATTATATCTGATTGCATAGGATAAACCATATTTATTAACTTATCTCACATCTAAAGCCATGTATTCTATTAACTGTTCAATAGTTCAAATTCAAGGCTATTTTTGTTTGATCCAGTGTTTTAAGTCACAGTTTGTAAAATTCTAGCTTATGTCGTGAACTGATTGTTTTGTTTTATTTGATCACTTGTTTTGTGGTCGTCATTTAATAACTTCATGATTTATTCTTAGTTGATCCATAGTGTTTGACATAGTCTTTTAGATTAGTCCCAAGTCGTAGATATTATAATGATAAATCACATTTTCTCCCAGTATCGTGCCACGGGATTATTTAACAAGGAGTAAGGTCATAATCAAAATTTAATTGGATATTAAATGCATCAATAGATGAAGAAAGAATTATGTTCTGTATATTGGCTAATACAAACTTTGGTTCTCCAGATGGCAGTGTCTCCGCTGTCTGTGAAAGTGGTAGATATCAACGACAAACAGCCTGTGTTTACCCACAATTACTATAACTTTTCTGTATTTGAAGAATTACAAGAAAATGTTTCAGTGGGAACAGTATTGGTAAGTAGCTTTATTTTAGATGAGGACCTATTGTGTCTTCATAGATAACTTATGAAATGTTGGATGTTCCAATATATCTAGTGTTCTAAGAACGGTATTAAAAGTACGTTTGACGTAAATTGGAAAAAAACACGATACTTACCTAATAGAAAAGGTTTGTTTGTTATGTTTTTTTGTTCAGAATTTGCGCGCAAAACTAAATACGGCCTATTTGTGTTTGACCGTCCTTAATTTGTAACTGATAGACTAGAATGAATTGCAGCCAGTTAATAGTATCCACTGCAAACTCTTAGATACCACTAAGCCTATTTGTGCTTGACCGTCCTTAATTTGTAACTGATAGACTAGAATGAATTGCAGCTAGTTAATAGTATCCACTGCAAACTCTTAGATACTCTTTTCTGACCGAATAGTGGGATTTAACCAAACTTATGGATCCAAATGTGGAGCATGTTTTTTGTGACAAGGGGACACTAACCACGAACTCTCGAAGCTACAGTCGGGACACGCTGATTATTAGGCGTTACTCCGTCACGGGTTTTTAGATTGTTCTTGTGTGTGTTTTTATGTTTTAAATTTGACTGAAAGTAATGTAAGGAGAGGGAGAAACGTCTTTCAAGATGGTTTTTGATTGATAAGAGGGTTTAATTCGGACTTAATTTGCAAACCATAAACTGTTACCCTATATTTACTATAAACGGTAAATTATCTTACGTAAAACACGTGAGGATTGTTATAAGAAAAGCACGTTTGCACTTCAGAGCCGTTCTGAATTATACTGTATTTAGAAGACACTGACAAGGCTGAGATAATTATTCCTGGCTAATTATTTTCATCAAAGCGATAACTTTCACTAGCTTTTTTCCAGATATCGAGTTCTAATTAGTAAAACATACATTTTCCTGAACCACATCACAACTAAGTCGTATTACTTTTTCAGCATGTGCTATACGTTATGTGCAAGCAAAAAGAGATGAAATCAGTTTTTCAGTCACAACCGTGTTTACAAGCAACACATTTTTAAATTATAGCTTAAAATTAATCCAAAATTTTCATCATTATATATCCTTCCTTACCCTGTACTATTTAAAAGGTTCCAACATGTTTTTTTAAAAGTATCGCTTCCATTTGTAACTTTTCCATAATGCTGCTGTGCACAAGTGTAACTATTAAGAAATGTTCTCCAGAATTTTACTTGTACTAGATGAATAGATTACTCGTTATACATTTGTTTTGTCGTAAAATTAATTTACTGTTAAAACATGTAAAAGATTCTCTCGTCTATTCTATATTATGATAGTTTCAACATATTCCTTTGTTGTCTAGCTGAATGAAAATGGAAACAATATCACACGGAAAAGTAGTTTACTGTATTAGAGTTTTATGTCACTGTAGTTATGTTTCTAGTTTTTAGTTAGTATATTTGGTTATGACCACGAAGACCAACCCATTTTTTTGAAGATACTTTTGATGCGGCAAAATGCTTAAGAGTTATTCCATTAAAAAAAGTTTTAAAGGTAATAATTAATATGCAAAAAAAAGCAATATATTTTGGTGTTTATAAGTAGCAACAAAGAGTTATAAAAAAGTGTATCATACACGAAAACTTACATGAATATATTTATACCGATCCACAAAGTCATTTCATATCTCAAATACGTCGCTGAAAAATCATTTAATGAGTTTAGCGTTTACTACATGAGTCACTAGCATGATATCTGAGCTTAAAATAATCCGGTGACACCTAATTCAGTTATGTAACTTTTTTCATGATGAAAATAATTCGCATGAAGAATGTCCTTAAGCTGCAGCAAAAATAACAACTTCAAAGTAAAAAAAAATCTAAAAAATATTTAAAAATTACGTTTCAACGACACAACTTAAAAAAAAAAGGTAATGATAAAAGAAAAAATTATCAAGCCCAAGCTTTCAGGATTTATCGGCCTGAAAGCTTCGGCATAATAACTATTTTATTATTTCAAGAAATAGTGCGTATATTTTGATATCGTTATACACCAATACAGCAATTCCCATTATGTACTTTAGGCTGTTGACGGAGACACTGGAAAAAATGCCGAAGTCCGTTATAGTATCATCGGCAACAAAGCCAGCTCTTTCTTTCACGTCGACCAACAAGGAAATATTCTTACAAGAAGAAGCCTAGATAGAGAAACTGATATAAAAGTGGAGTTTCTGGTAATTGCTTTTGATAGAGGAATTCCCCAATTGAGCGGTACTGCGACAGTTTTTGTGAGAGTGGACGACATCAACGATAATGCACCCTATTTTGAAAGGGAGTCTTACACTGTTCTGGTGCCTGAGGAAAGGGAGCCACCTTACAAAGTATTCGAAATGAACGTAAGTTACATTACCATCGGAAGAGCGATTGCTGTGATACACTCTTTACTGGTTTCGACAAGCCAAACCTTATTTGAATTTACAGATGTTAAAGCAACCTAAATCAAAGAATTTTTTTGTTTGTTTATATAACAGTTTTAATGAATATTACTAATTATATTACAAAACCGGAAGAAATGGAAATGTTATTAGTGAGACTCGTAACACATTTTATGTATTCATGAAAAAGAAAATAAATATCAGTAGTTTTCCTTTCGTAGCGGTGACAAGTCCTCCCATTTCAAGTTCCAATATATACTTTCAGGAAAATGTTTCATGTAAATTACCAGCTTGTATAAAATGAAAACCCAATAGACTCAGTTTTTCAATACCCAAGACAATAACATTTATCTTAAAATCAATACAATCTCAGAAAAACAAATGTGTTTGAAGAACAGCAGTGAATGGTGATAAAATATCAATCTATATTCGGTTTTTATTATTATTCTTACAGCTGTTTACATGCAAATTTAGTCTTATTACTTATTAGTTATATGTATGAAAATAATGATTGATTGTGTAGTTTGATGATTTCGATACAAACGTTAAATGAGGAATATCAAAAATGTGTCCCAACATTGGGGAACTAAGTTATTATGTATAAAATGACTAATTAAGACTGTCTACTAGCATATGTTGTATTTCCCTATATCTTCTTATATTATATTAGATATACTCCCCTATTTTCTTAGTGCATCTTTCATTTCAGTGTAACTGCTTGCACAGTTTTATTTTCCTGGCGCATAGATCTCAGGCGTGGAGTGAACTGCAACTGGCGAAACTTACTCATTTTTCTTTACTTATTTTTAAATACTTATTTATCGAGAACATACCATAGTTGAAAGCCACAAGTTCCTGAGAGTGGAGCTTCTTGTAATTTCTATATTTTAAGAATAAGAACATGTACAACACTGAATTTTCAGTTTTTCAGGACTTAACAGATTTTTATAATATAATAACTTATCTGTAGGTTTTGTTTAATTCCCCTTTTTCTCTTTCGATGTTTATGTTTTTAAAAATATATAATAAGGTCGAACATTCACAAATCTTATGTTCTATAGATTTTAGGATAAAATGAACAAATCTTAGAGTTTTCTTAATTGATAATCCCTGAGATTTTGATGTGTGGAAATCTTTCCTCCTTAGAAACGAATTTCATTTGATATTTGACATATTTCTAGCTCCAGTAGAGAACAATTCGTATTAGTTATGGTACTTCTTATGCCGGAACACTATACCGCTTGATTTAGATTGGAAGTAACCTTCCTTTTTTCCTTTAGTGTGGTAAACCTGCAAATTACCATTACAAATGTACCATAATACTATTTCAATTTTAAAAACATACGATTTTGGCCATTCCGAGAAAAAAACAAATATATATAGAGCTGTAGAGCATAAAGCCTGTAAATTATTTAACTGTCCTTCAGGGAGAACTGGATACCAGTTTTTTTGTTTTGTTTTGTTTTTAGGAGTGAGGGAGGAGTATTTTGTATATGGGTTTAATAAACGTAAACAATTTACGGACATAATTATGACATTAATCAATATTTCAAGTTTTGTTTGGTCTGAAAGCTACTTCGTTGATGGCTCCATATTTATACACTTAAAGCTAATTCTAAGTAAAGCTTTTGAGAGATATACTTACCTCCAAACCCCAAAATAAACAGTACATTCCAGGAACGGATTTTTCTTCATCATGAAACATTTCCAAGTGTTTGTAGGGATATTTTATGCAATACTGTTTTCTAATGACTCAATTATTAAGGGATACAGTTCCCAAGTATTTGAAATGTCAAGTTACTTTCATATCGGACTTAGTTTTTCTTAAGATATTATTTGATGAGAATGAACAATTGAAACAGACCTGGATACATTTCAAATTGAGACAATCTTCTTTGGAGCTGATTAAATCTAAAACTATAGCATGTGTCAAAATTATACTTAAAACACGAAAGAGTTTCAATACATATACCAAATGTCAACATAACACGGAAAACAACATTCTATTAAATGATAGCTTGCCTTTGTCATGGGAGGATCTGGTTTCATTAGATTTGTGGGGAATTGCATTTTCCAGCGTGCACACAATTAACAAAACACACACATGATTCTTATTACATGTTTACTGAGAGTAACTGAGCAAATTTATCTCTTTCACACATACCCTACTGTTATATTAACAAATCTAATTAAGCTTACCTTAGCTAAGTTTAGTATTAGAGCACATACTTTAGGAAGCGCACTAAATAGTTTGTTTCTAGAAACTAAAAAGGTTTAAACTCCATAAAGTACTTTTGATATGAGACGAATATAAAGATATTTCCTCCTAAAATGAAGTTATGTTAGATTTGTGATCATTATATCTGGTAGCATGTTATACGTATGTACACTTAGAATAAATGTTTAATTAAAAGTGTTTTCAATGCTGATTTCTTAATGCAATATAGAAGTGAAATGGTTGTAATTATTCTCGGTACTTAAAAAACACAACGAACTTGTTTTTAATAAAATAATAAATTAAAAAAATATTAGTGTGAATTAATGGTAGCAAGTCGCTACAGTAAAAAACAAGATATTTTGTTTTTGATATAATTATGTTATGGGCATTTCCTAATTAATAGAAATCTGTTTGACTTAATGCTATTATTCTAAAAAAGAAAAACGAAACGTAAATTATATTCTGACATGTTTTGGTATGCGTCTAACTAAAGGTTCGGGCTGTGGATCCTGATATTGGAAACAATGGTATTGTCCATTATTCTAAACAAGATGATGGACTAAGCAAGTCTGCTCCTTTCGATGTCCATGCTTCAAACGGGTCTGTTTATGTCCTAAAAGCCTTTTCTGAAATCAAGCAGAAACCTTCTCAGTATACGTTTTTCCTTCTCGCCACTGATTCAGCCGAAATTGGATATGAACGAAGGTTTGTTTATATATATATCAAAAATGTTTGAATATCTCATTATTTTATATCGTAATTCTTTTAGGCATGAGTATAATGTTTCAGCACGAATAACAACTGTAGATGATTTCTCTAAATAAACAATTAGTATTTATTCTGGGGCTCAGGTTCGTCCTGTGGTAGAGCTCTGTATTTTGGAGCTGGCGAGCCGGGTTCGAATACGTCTGATACCACAAATTATACCCAGCACCTCAAGCTGTGGTTACGTTATAAGAATAATCAATCCCTTAACATAAATGATGGTTGGTAGGGTGCTGCTGATTGGCTGCCTTCCTTCTGGTCAGTAGTTCAAAGTTTTGGGCAGTGGCAATAGCTTTACCAAAAGTACAATAAATTAATCATAAAATAAAGTATTTATTCTCTATATCAATATTTTATTAAATGAGCTTTATATATATTATAAGATATTATTTCTATGTAAGTTAGCAATTTTTTTCTTATTCCTAAACATATAATACAAAGAAACAAAATGAACTATTTTAAGGGTCATTTGATTATGTTTCTTATTGAAGGTTCGAGATAAACAATCTTTAGATGTTATAATGAGTTTCTTACTTCTAGGTCATCTGTGGCAGTTGTCCACGTTAACGTGACAGACATTAACAATAATTCTCCAGAATTTGAAGGTGCCCCCTATGAGACTTCTGTTGGGGAATCTCTTCCTCCAGGAGCTTTTGTAGCCCAAGTTCGGGTTGGTATTTTATTGTTACTTAAATTTCTAGTGAATATGTTTAAAAACCCTGAACTATTCCTAACACCTAAAGCTAGGCTTACAGTTCATATGAAGATACAGGTACTATATCTATCCGATTTTTAAGTTTTAAGTTTGATTCTTTTGTAACTGAAGAAAATTAAAGAACACATAGTTGTTAAAGAAACTGAAAGTATGAAGAGACAGCATTCTTTGTTGATATTCTTTCATTTTCCACTTATAAAATCGGTTGAATGATATTCTTTCTTTGTAAGAAATGAGGAAATAATCATAGTCCCTTTTTCAATTTGCATATTTTGCTCACAGACATTTACAGTTAAATCATATTAGTAACAGAAAAAACAATTCGTAAATTCCGATACTATTGAGTCTACTGTCAGCCAAACATTATAATAAATAAGGTGTGAAAATTTGATAACACCGAGTCTAATGCCAGCCTAATATGACAATAGATAAGGTGTGTAACAGCATAGATTACGATAGTACCATACCAGGATTATTTTGGTCCACTTGAATCGTTATCCGCTCACTTTTTTATTTCAAACAAGACATTTTCATACGTGATGTTAGCAGAAATATAAATTTTTACCAAGAAAATTCTTAAAGTAAAACACATTTGTTCATCACATAAACCCAGATTATTTTCTTAATATTGTAAATGAAATAATATTATGTAATTAGCAAATACTTGGATGTACATAACTCGTTGAAACTGCCTCAATTAACATTTGTACCGAATGTAAAGTTTCAAGTACAACAGTTGCTTGTTCAGACTTCTGATGTTTTCTTGAGACTATTATTTATAACCACATCCATTCTAGTAAGATTAAACACACACAAACAGTTTATTATAACACATATAGCATGTTCATTCTAACACATACAAACAACTTATAAATATTATAACGCATTCAAACAGTTAAGAACAATTATAACACATACAAACGGCTCACAAATAATATAACATAAAAAAAAGTCTCAAACTTCCTAATGTCCTTGAAATTTATAGGTTAATGATTGAGTCCAATAATCTCAGTTATCGTTCACCTGCAGGCTCAAGATCAGGATTCTGATACGATACTGACTTACTCAATTATAGCTGGGAATGAGGAAGGGACGTTTTCGATTGATTCAAAAAGGTTTGTTTGTTTTATTACAACAATTTGGCTATTAATTTCATCTTAATTTATTGAACGATTGCAATATTTTTTAAATAAGTTCATTTATCTTTTAAATGTAAACATTCGTTTTGTGGTTTTACTTAAAAGAAAGGAACCCCTAAAAGAAAACAGAAATGAATTGTCATTTTTGTAGCTACGTCTGATACACTTCAATATCATATATATTAAAAATAATATTTTAACATTTTAAAGTGATGATGAATAATACAACCATACGAAGTCATAAATAACAACATATTTATTGAACGTTTCGGAACATACATATTCCATCTTAAGTAAATTCCTACAATAAACAGGAAACTACAATTATAAATAATCACCTGAATATTAAATGAAAGCTTATATACTACGATAAATACTTGTAAGGGCAATGTTAAGACTCAAAATGGAGGAAGATTGTCAAGGCCAGTAAGTTAACTTGGATATCATATAGACACGCGCTCAATGACTAAGTAAAGGTAGCGAGAATAAATTATAAGAAGTTTAACGTAACACAAGTCGAGTTGTTATTCAAGCTAGGGAGATTTTGTTTAATAAATTGTTGTTGTTTTTTTCAAAAAGAGAAGTTTCAGGCTAAACCTTTAAAGTCAGTTCAGGATAGAAGTTTCAAGCTAAACCTTTAAAGTCAGTTCAGGATAGAAGTTTCAAGCTAAACCTTTAAAGTCAGTTTAGGATAGAAGTTTTAAGCTAAACCTTTAAAGTCAGTTCAGGATAGAGAATTAAGTTCTCAAAACTATATACTTTAACTCATCAGCAAAAGGTTAAGATTCTATTGGTTTTTATTTATATGATGTTGAAAAATAAGTGCGTTTTGATTACTGTCTGGGAAGACCCTGTATACCCTAAAGTTAACAACTGTTAATTAGTTCTCTATACTGTGTGTAGGACCACGGCTGTATACCCTAAAGTTAACAACTGTTAATTAGTTCTCTATACTGTGTGTAGGACCACGGCTGTATACCCTAAAGTTAACAACTGTTAATTAGTTCTCTATACTGTGTGTAGGACTACGGCTGTATACCATAAAGTTAACAACTGTTGATTAGTTCTCTATACTGTGTGTAGGACCAGGGCTGTATGCCATAAAGTTGACAACTGTTAATTAGTTCTCTATACTGTGTGTAGGACTACGACTGTATACCATAAAGTTAACAACTGTTAATTAGTTCTCTATACTGTGTGTAGGACCAGGGCTGTATACGCTTTCTTACAACATATTTTGGTCTTTTAAGGTTCTTACGTTTGCCTCTAGGTCATCAGTTTCCTTGATGACATATATCTGCTTTTGAAATTAATCACTATATTCTGAAGACCTTTTATGAACAATAAATAAGTATTTATTTCGAAAAAAATAACAATATTTCTGTCGTTAGCATTACAATTTTTATTTGTTATTATATTCTAAATCTTTTTTCAACCTTATCACAGGGCGACAACGCTAAATTCAGGTACATTTTGCTAGATGACTCTCAGGCTTTTGCTATTGACGAAACAAGCGGATGGATAACGGTGCGTGACCCCTCCAAACTAGATCGCGAGACCAAAGACTTGCTTATTATTAAGGTGAGAGAAACGCTTCAATGTAGGCCATATTTAAATTTGTTATATGCCACTGTCAGATTAATGCCACATGTATTTCAACTATTAAGGCCTTAGTTTTTGAATGAAATTAGACGTAACCATGCTACAATATCTACATCGTTGAAAATGTGACTTGTCTAATGATTATATAACCAGAAAAACAAACCTGAATAAAATATGTTTTCTTTTTATAACGTGCCTAAGTGTGGATTGTCTTTACTTTATTATTTAGTTCGCCTTTTGTTGATAGGTGATTGCTGAGGAGTTAGTACCTAATGTCAATCTTGACGCACCAACGAGCGTCACCGAAGTTCATATACATCTTCTGGATGCCAACGATAATAACCCACTGTTCATACCAAGTTCTGCCTTCAGTTTTACTGTGACGGAAACGGATCCGCCAGGAAGTATCATTGGTTCTGTAGGTTTTCTTGTTTAGTTATTTTTTTCGATTGTGGGTTTTCTAACTGTCATGTTACTTTAACTATTTTACGTAAGATCTAGTATTATTTCCGTGGTCCTACACACACAGTATAGAGAGCTAATTAACAGTTGTTAACTTTATGGTATACAGATGTGGTCCTACACACAGTATAGAGAACTAATTAACAGTTGTTAACTTTAGGGTATACAGCCGTGGTCCTACACACACAGTATAGAGAGCTAATTAACAGTTGTTAACTTTATGGTATACAGATGTGGTCCTACACACAGTATAGAGAACTAACTAACAGTTGTCAACTTTATGGTGTACAGCCCTGGTCCTACACGCAGTATAGAGAACTAAGTAACAGTTGTCAACTTTATGGTGTACAGCCCTGGTCCTACACGCAGTATAGAGAA